AACGCTGAGGTGCTACTTTTTCAGAGATGAAAGTTTATTCTCTGGAAACAATAGCAGCAAGACTAAAGTGGAATTAGAAGAAGGTCACAGGTGATAAACTGGTTGTTCTGCAACATCATTTTCAAGTTCTGCTTTTCTTTTCTCCCCATCAGACAGACAGGAGCAAACAAAAACAAGTTTTTCCACTCCTTTATTTCATAGTACATACTTCTCAGAGCATCTTGAGGGTTACGAGAGAATATTTGTGTCATCTGAGGCTGGCATGAATCTATGCTGCCAGCAAAGTGAGCCCTGTCACCATGGCAAAGGGAGAAAGACTGCATGGCTACTTTCCATCTCTGCACAGCAAAGTCTGCTTACTTTACTGAACAAAGCCTTCAGACACACATTAACCCAGTAAGGTATTTAATATTAAGTGTTCTGCTTTGATATGGGCAAGAATGAAAAAGGTTGGAAAATTAACAAAGCCCTTTGCTCCTTTACAAGGCTGAGCAATGACATGAGGCTTTGTTTATTATAATGTTTATTCATATAGGCTTTGTGTATTGAGTAGAGGAGCATGATTAGAAAAAAATGGGCCTCTCACACACATCTAGTAAAAAATACTGAACTTAAAGAGCAAGTCACCGCCAAATCAACTTTTTTTCCTGATAAACTATATAGATGCGTTTCTAATTGTGCTGCAGACACTAGGGATGCACCGATACAATACTGGTATCGGTATTGGCACCGATACCAATACCAATATCAGTATCACATCAGTAAAAGTTAACCGATACCAGGAACCGATACCAATGCAGTTGCTTGAAAATGGCTTCACTGTAACTTGTCATTTCTGTTCACCTAATATTTTAGTTTTGTGATGATTTCCATTCATATATTTAACTTTTTATCTACCTCACAGTCTTTTCCTGTTGAAAGCAGAGAAGAAAATAAAAGCTGTATTCCAAATCATTGCATTTCTTTGTGTGGTAGAAGTATCGGTATTGGTAATCGTATCGGCGAGTACTCAGATCCAAGTATCGTATCGTATCGGTTTGGAAAAAAGTGGTATCGTTGCATCCCTAGCAGACACGTGTAGTCAATAGTTTTGCACTTTAGTGCATTTTAATTAAAATTTAAAATTTCTGCCTAAAACTGTCGTTGTCAGGTAAAAACTCTGCACTGCACTTAAATTTAAATCTGCCATCGCTATTGGCTAAGAGGTAACCTAGAACGTTAGCTGGTACCATATGATGTCACAATGTCGTTATGAGCCTGTGTGTATGTATTTGTTAGTGGCTCTGCCCCCTCGGTCTGCTAGTCAACAGCATTTGTTGCATTTTTCAAACAGGAAGGGGGAGCGGAGTAATACTCTGGTAGGGGGTGACTCGCTCTTTAACTGAACTTAAAGAGCAAGTCACCCCAAAGCAACTTATTTTCCTGATAAACTATATAAATGAGTGTCTAATCATGCTGTAGACATGTGTAGTCAATAATTTGGCACTTACGTACATTTTAGGTAAAATTATGTGCCAAAAACTGTCAGTGTTATATCATTTTCAGGCAAAAACGCTCTGCACTTGAATTTAAATACGCTATGATGTTAGCTGGTACATTATGATATCACAATGTCGTTGTGACCCTGTGTGTGTGTGTGTGTGTATTTTTTTAGCGGCTTTGCCCTCTCAGTCTGCCATGCAACCGCATTTGTTGCATTTTTCAAACAGGAAGTGGGAGTGGAGTAAGACTATGGTAGGATGTGACTTGCTCTTTAAAATTTAAATATTCTGCCAAAAACTGTCAAGTGTTGTGCTGTCGTCAGGTAAAAACTCTGCATTACATTTGAATTTAAATCTGCTATCACTATTGGTTCATTACGATGTCACAATGTTGTGAGTCTGTGTGTATTTGTTAGCAGGCCTGCCCTCTTGGTTTGCTAGGCAACAGCATTTGTTGCATTTTTTAAACAGAAAGAGGGAGTGAAGTAAGACTCTGGTGTGGGCTGACTTGCTCTTTAATTGAATAACTTGAAATGGACTCTGCCTCACCTGTTGTTTCCTTTACACTGTATTTTTTCTCTCCTGCATTGGCCATGGATTTCCATTTGTATGATGATGCTGTGGTCCAGTATGCTACAAATACACAAATGTTGACATAAATATGCATAGCTCTAAGCTAAACTACTGTTTACTTCTCACACAAACACATCTAATCTTCATCATGATTTGCACCATAGTGTAAAAAGTAACAAGGAATTTAAAGGAAAACCAGTTTAAGCATAAACACTTGTTTGACAAAAAAATAAAAACATGGGAAGCATTCTGCATTTTATATGATAAGCACACAAGACATATCACTTGATCTAATAAAATTAATGTACCTTTATTGTAAAAGCAAATTTGTAAAATTGTTACTACTTAAGACTAATAAGCTCACTACAAGCTTTTAATGATTATTAGTAGTTTAATGATCAGGTGGGTTCATTTTACATTAGAGGGAGAAACATTTAATGGAGTTGGGTGCTGGGAGTTGTTTGTCAAAGATACATTATTTAAGGTGAACATGAAGCGAGTACTTAATGTTTTTATTCAATAGTATTGTGTAGTGTTGTGCTCTTTGTAAGAACCTGTAAATGCAGCTATTAAAACAACACGAGATATTTTAATGTAATTTACTTAGTTTTTTGACCCCTGAAAAAAAAACTCATGCTGGAGCATAAATGACGCATGTTACTGAGAGCACTGATCTATTTCAGTTGAAAAGTAACATCATGGTGACTCACTGCAACAACCCTGAAACCCACTGCTATCAAGATGCAAACAAGACGGATTAACGACCAAAATAAAAAATATCATGCGTGTAGTTGCTTATCGGCGGGTATGTCGGCGCTGCAGTCAGTCCTACCGATAGGGGTGTGGAGGGTACAACGTTGCTATTATGTGTTACCACAACACCCTGGTGCTGTCGCCATTTTCAGAGCGCTTTTCTCAGGACGACGTGTAGCCAGGGGAACCTCGCCATGGGAAGAAAATCCCCAAGAATGCATTTAATCAACTCTATCACACACTCTACTCCACGTATCACTCTGTCGGTACAGTTTCTGTGTTGTTACCACTCGTCCATTCGAAGAAAGACCACCATTATTAGCTTCTGCGAATGTAGCACTAGCACGCTACGTGTAATGACGCTCGGAACAGTGGAACAATCGAGCATTGTATGAAAATTGACTTTTTCCCCCCGATTCACTAAGACGAAAGTGGAAAAGTCAACCACGATGAAGCAGAGAGTTTTGCCATTTTAGACCGTTGTGGGAAAAGAAACCCCCTGGTATGTAATGCCTGAGCTAACGGTGGCTAATAGCATAATGCGTATACGCGACTGAAGTGGATTAATGCCCGGGTCGTCAAAGGCAGGAAAAACCGACGACACCAGCCTCGAGAGATAGCAACACATGGGAAACAAAACTCGACTCAACACTTGAACGGTAATTTGTACCAGGCCGAGCGAAACAGTACAACTTAAGGTGGCTAAGCTCGCCAGCTGAGTTACATATTGAGAAGGGCGAGATGACCAAATAAAGCGTCCCCTCCCCCACAGTTGCAGCATTTGATTCCAACACACACACAGACTAAATTGACTGTAATAGATATTTATATATTAAGTTGAACATTAACATTGCAATAGCTGTCGCTTTATTTCTTATATCTATTTTCTTAACATTGATTCTACTGCATTTGTATGAGGACCTTGGGATACCGGTGTAATGTAACCAGGCATTTAAGCTATTTTAACAACTGGCTTTGCTATTAGCTGCCTGGGACACAACGGAACATCTAAGCGTATCTATTTACTATGTAAAAGCACATTGTTCTACGGGCTGTGGCATAACAAGATTTTTCTGAACGGAAATTAAAGCGTAGGTAAAGCAACCCTTAAAATTTTCAGGTTCAAATTCTAGTTTATAACCTGTGTTATGCTAACTAACTGCGGAAAAAACACTCAAGCACCCAAAATATCCTAAAATAAACTTGTGCGTTTAACGAGGATTTGTGCTAAACTATATATTTTTAATACAAAAACAAGCAGGAAATGGCGTAGCGCCGTGTTTTAAGAATATACAGTGGTTTATGCATTAAGCCAGTGTTGGTAACATTACTGTACACTGAAATGCTTTTGTTGGCGCTCAGGTACCATATTGGTGAACAATACAGGAATATTAGATAAAGATAGGAGGTAGAGGATAGCTGAAAAGGAGAAGATTAGGCTGTTTAGGAATATGTTTATAAACCAAAAACGTAACGCTGATATTTTGCAAAGTCTAAGAAAAGTAAGGGGCAAATTAAAAATAAAACAAAAGTGGTTAAAGTGAGAAAAGTCGTACATGGCTCATATATTTCGTGTGTGTAACATAAGCGAATAAAACTGTGCGCAGTACCAGTCCCGCACTGTCAATTTATCAAACAAAACGCATGTGGCCCTACACTTTAGATCTGCTTATGTGTAGTAGCCGTTAGAACATTTTTAACAAGTGATAACTGTACATTTTAATAACTGTTGGTGAATGTTTCTGTGTATAGACACATGTAATGAAACGTTCTCACGTTTAGATGAGTTTAAATTAATGTTAAAGGTTCTTCGACTACATTACACTAGTTATTCTAACAACTCAGACCTTTGTATGATATTTACTCAATGCCTTTGCATTACGTTTAACAAAAGTCAGCCCTATTCGGTCTGTCAAGCTAATTTAGGCTAGTAGCATGCGCTAGTTAGCAAAGGACCTCTTGAATCACCAATATTGGAATCTTGTGCCATTTAGTAATCCGTTTCACGCTGCCGATTAGCATAAAATTTATTGAAAACAACTCGGCACAAACATACTATGATAAATCGGTTGTTTATAAGCAAGTGCAAGTCAGCTGAGACTACGTTAGCAGGTAGCTAACTAAAGACAACAATACCCCTCCAAGATGGATTTGCACGAAATAATAATGGTAACTTATCTGCAGCTTACGTACCGTTTTAAGTCCACACTGGAAGACGTAAAAAGCGAATAGGGGGATCTGGGTAAGACCCCCGTCGCAGCTTCCACAACCAAAACAATACTTCAGTCCACACTGCGGATTCTTGGCCAAGGTTTAAAATGTTTGTATCTGAATGTTATCCCTATAGATTTATTCCCTATTACAAATAGCGCGTGGCTCTTCTTTTAAGATAACGTGACAACAAAACGATCTAAACCGTTAAAAACTGAGTCCCAGTCAACGGCGACTTTTAGAAATTAGATCCCCTCAAACCAGTCTCTATTCCCTTTGCAAAAATGGCGGCCCTGCCAGGACTGCTGAGACTCCGCCTCCCCCACGAGCCCCCCCTCCCTGTCCTGCCATCTCCGAACCAGAGCTCCGCCTCCAACAAACTGCGGGGCTACACTCCCAGGTTGACAGGGGCGGTGTCATACTGCTTCACGCGCGTTCACGAATAGGAGTCCACAACGAATCTCAGGGCTTGACGCCATTTAATAAGGATGGTCGAACAATGGCAAAAGTCACAAAAAATGTTAAATAGTGTTTGAACAATTTAAAACATGAAAGTATTTGAAAATATTATTTTTTGTAGAATGTTATCATTTTTAGACAAATTATCACATTAAACAGTAAAATTCTACAAGAGGTTAACATTTGATGTTTACATTCATCCCTGACAATGATTTCTTACATAGAAAACATGGTTCACTCCACTAACTGCTAAATGTTTATTTATTTATTTTTAATAGGATTTGCTGGGCCTTTCTTTCAGCGGAAGTGGATAGAGAGAAATCATTGTTAACAGAAATAAGGAGTCATAAAGTCAACCAAAGATGCCCAACTATATTCATGTTGCACCCCCGAAGGAATGATTATAAACCTTTACCAAATTCTCTCACTTCAGCTGAGGCATGGCTGTGAGGGATCACCCAAATCCTTTGCACAAGTCAGTACTAGGCATTAAGCTATTATGTAACCCTTATACAAGATCAACATTTAAATATTGGACTGATTTAACAAGAAAGGCCAAATAAATATAATCAATAAATCAGGGGCTACTACCGTAAGTACTAAAATACTTTGCATATACTATACTATACTACACAGGTATCAGGTCATACTAAAATACTGAGACATATTAAGGATGTCTGTTATGTATATGTATTGTCTATTTTACACAAACATTAAACAGAGTTGAGGGGTGGGATTTTAACCCTTTTAGAACTGTAAAACTACTGTGTGAACAGTTTTAAAATTCGTTTCAAATAATTAATGTTTTAATCTAAAATCACCTTTCTTATGGTCTGAAATTTCAAGGAATCAAAAGGTTTATTTGTTACATGATTAGTCATACAAGTGCAACAGTGTTGCATTCTATATAGTCTTTGAAGTAAAATGTTTTATTTAAAACTATTCCGACGGGCTTGTTGTCGGTTGTAAATTGGTTAATGTCACTTCTGTAGAAACGTGTTGGTAGAAATCCCGTTGACATCATATGCTGAGGGAGGACGGTCGGTCTCACCGTTTCCATTTGTTGACCCTCCCCCACCCTAAAACTGCACCCCATTCGCGCATGCGCATTCCTGCACGACAGCCGCAGCTGCTTGTGCTCGCACACTTTGAAGACGACAGTGGTATAAAAAGGTTTGCTCGACGAACTAAAGCCACCTTCGCCCGTTTTTAAAAGGGAAATGTTCGTTTGTGGAGGATGCTACGACCATGTCCGAACTACCGGAAAGGAAAATATTTATTTATGACAGCACACGCGTCGTGACTGTGGTTTGAGGACGGTGTGGTTTCTTTATGTTACGAATATTGATACACAGTTAAGAGATAAGTGGTTGGCTGACCAGAATCAACTGATGAAAGTGGTCATTTTCTGAGAAATGGCTGGTTTGTGATGACATCATGCAGTTAGTATTTGTGGGCGGGTTCTGAGCTGGAAGGGGAGAGGGGCGCAACCGGAGAGCACCAGCGGACGGGCGCCATTAGGTAACAACGTAAAATTAACGTCAGTCCTTTACAAAGAAGCGCAAATGTGGATAAAATTTAGCTTAACCGTATTCATGAGGTCTATTCTGTGTAACTGAGTATATTGTGGATTATTCTTGCCGAGACGTAAACCGACGTCGTTTTTTCTTTTGGGTGACGCCGGCTGTCGACTGGAAACAAGATGGCGTCTGGGTTTTTTCCTGTGTCTGTGGGCGGTGGCGTCGTGCGCGTTCTCGCCACTGTGTTATTTCCTGTTTTTCTGTCTTGGATAGTTCTTAACCCTCAACAGCCACCGCAAACCGAGAGGTGACCCGAAATCGTGTTCCCCCTGTTCAATTTCGGAAGTTCCAAGTTGTGCTAAAGGACAAAGGCAACGAAAGAAAAAAACGCTACTCTCCCTCAAGAAGTGACCCAAACCTGCTCTGAAAGAGTTGGTTATTGATTAGGTTCAGATATTGAAAATTAATGTTTGTTCTACCTGACATTATCAACACCTAACACAATAAATTTGGTTCTATTTTTTCTCCATCTAGTGGTCAAAATCGGTAGTCACGTTTTTCCTAATCAGCGTGACTTCTTGCCAATGTTATAATTAATTATAACTCATTAAATTGCTGTAGGAGTCACGTTTAACTTTTAAGTATTTACAGCTTGGGTTCAATTTTATTACAGTTTCATATCAGAATGGGAATATGGAAAAAGTTGGTAAATGCTAAAAAAAAATTGTAATATTGTACATGTTCCTGTACAAAATTATTTACATTGAGATATGCATTTAAAAAAAGGGGGGGGGGGGGGTGTAATTATAACTTCTTATTTCGGTTAAAATATTAAAACCCTGAAGTTTAAACAAGAGAATGTGCACCTCGTTTTTCAAAATCGATGATAAATCACAAACTCCCAAATATTTTTATGTCTGTGTTCTTTTTGTGCAGTTATCTTTATTGTAAGCATACTTTTTAATTATAGCATGTATTATACCGTCTGTGTGGTTTTACAAGCATTCTGTTCTTATTCTCTTTTTTATGGACTGCCTTGAATTTCCCCACTGGGATTAATAAATTAAACTTTCTGTAGTGTCATGTTCGGTGTTTGTGCTCACACAAGGAAAAACAACATCAATGCAGTAATTGCTATATTCATAACAATGATAAAACTGATTAAATACTATTTTGTGCATCTATTTTAAAATTGTAGTTATTTTCGTATATTAAACTACTGTATTGCCATTTATTTAAATAAAAGTTCCTAATGATAAGGTGTTGTGTGGATGTTTTATATACATGTGTGTCTGAGTTGGAAAGTCGCTGATGTAAATAAATAAAGGGAATCGCAGATAAAATGATTAAAAAACAATATAAGTGGCATAATTGAACGTTTGTTCACCCTGGAAGTCGTTTCTTCGGCATACCGATAGGGAGCAGTGTCACAAATTCGATGGACAAATCAGCTGTTTTCGTCCAATCACAGCTAACGTTATTGGGACGTCGTTTATTGACCTGAGAGAAGGTGACTTCTCAGGTTTTGCTCATTACGTTTTTCCAATCCAACCATAACCACGAAAAGGACGGGGTTCTGTTGAAAAACAGTCGACCATGTCTTCACTTGGACGGGCGTTAGGAGTCCTCCGGACTGGATCGCAGCTCGTCAGGCGCGGTCCGGGAAGGATAACGAGCAGAAAGTGAGTTCGCTAGCATCTTAGCTACAACGCTAGCTTCAGAGTGTAGCCGATAAATGAATAACAATACGTCACCACTAAGAGGATACAATAAGACTTTGGTTTTATTACGTAGATTGCCTTAAAATATTTGCATATCTGCTGTTTTGTTACGTTTTAGGGCAAGCGACGGACCGCACATTGAACCACAGTACAGGCAATATCCGCAGCTTACCAAGAGACAGAAGTACGAGGCGGAGTTCATCAGTGGGGCCATGTGGTTTTGGATTCTCTGGCACAGCTGGCACGATCCAGATGCAGTGTTGGTAAGTAAGCGTGCTCCAGAACCAAACATCTGTCTCGGTTCATCAAACGGATCTAGAAAGCTTGAGTCAACTGGAAAGGAACCGCAGTGTTAAGACTGTAGCCCTCATTTTACGAAAAACTGTTGCACGATCTCAGTGATATAGTATATTTCTATGAAGTTACCATTTATTTTTTACATCTTAGTGGAATTGTTGTCCACAGCTGTGCTCAGAGCGGACAATATCCTGTTTGAATAACTTGGTCCTTACCTCTTTTTCTGTAGGGTCACTTCCCCTGGCCAGATGCTTCAAAATGGACTGATGAGGAGCTTGGCATCCCATCAGATGAGGAATAAGGTGATATCTTTGTTTTAGATGAGTCCAGAGGTTATGAAAAGTGATAAATGCAATAACAGGACAGGATTAGGGGGAAAGGGGGAACTAAATGCAATTATTAGGTTCACACGCTGTATTTTTCTGAATTTTGACCCCAATTGACCAATAATGGCATTTTTTTTTGGGTTATGAATTACCTTATAGCACATTAACTAGGGGGAAATGGATAATGGTAGTGCACGGATTAGAGCAACGAACTGGAAAAGTCAGCCAGACAGATGTTGAAAGATCTTCAGAAAGCTGAACTTCCCAAGAATTATTACATAAAGTTTGATTCCTGTTGAGGAAAATGTAAAAGAAGTGCTGGGTGTAAGATGCTAGATTAAGGTGCTTGAGCTGATTTTCTGCATACATTTCAAGTTAAGGTCACAGTGTAGTTTAGCTGTGCATAAATTGAAAGCTTTTTTTTTTTTTTACAGGAATCGAAGCACTTTGGTATTCTTGTGAAAATCTGCAAGATTCTGTGTCTGTTGTACATAAACTAATAAAAACTTTAAAATTAAACTCGTGATTCAAAATCGAAACTGTGTAACTGCAACATGCAGGAGGTAAAACAGCCTTTTGTTGACTGATTAACAGAATAACCAGTTTCATTACATTAGTTTTATTTACACGCAATTTTTGAAATGCAGTAACAAATGCAATGCATCAACAGTGTCACAGTTAGCCAGTGTTTGTATTTTTCAAATCATAGGCCAATAGCCTGGAAAAAAAACATTGCAAAAACCAACACACACCACAAATGCAGAGAAAGGAGAAGAGGGACGAATCCTGTGAGGTGAATACTACAGCCCAAACAAACCTGGCCTGCAGGCCAGCTTGTTAGTTCAAAAAGTAAACTAGTGAAAGGAACAAAAATAGGAACTCCGCCTAGTAATGTGATCAACACCAACTTTGTTATTAATTAAAAAAACCTCTTCAGGGCAACGTCTATCACACAGTTAGGTGCAGGTCATCCTGAGCAACACTTACTGTTTGAATGATCTTAAAGCTACATGACAAGCAGTTTACCTCGGTCATCATCGTTAGTCACCTTCATGGTGTTTTATAACACTAAATTTGTTAGGACAAGGAACAATACCATACCCCGGTTAGGCTGAAAGACACAATGGTAAATGCTTAAGCAGAGTGTGTTTGTGCAACTTGGAACACTTCAAAAGAAAAACAAACCTCGGCATCGCCAAAGCAGGAGGGGAAGTTTGGAGCAAATGCTGAAAACATCCCGTCTGCATCCGTGATGTGGCTGGTGAATAATCAGAGGTTATGTCCATGGCATCATTCCCTGAGAGTGAAGAACTGCGCACCCAGAGCAAAACACATTTCACATAAGCACTGGTATTTCAGAACTAAGAAAAACACCCATTCATCCCATTTAAGTTCCTCATCACCAACTTCTGAATACATCGACTACTTTGGATTAACCACAGTGGCTCAGATACTCGCATTTTTCTCTTTTTTGCTAATTAAAGGTAAGTGGCACTAATTGAGAATGCTCAGGTGTGGATGTGACATTTGTAACTTAAAATAGTTTGTACTCACACACAGATCAAAGTCACAGGAAGAAAAAACCATAACAGACAAGAATCAAGACAGGCTCAAGTCCACTGGGAAGGAAACTGATTTGTGACATTGGAAGGTAATAAAGGGTCTGTAGGTGAACTGCTACTCAGACTAACACAACCACATTTACAAAAAAAGTAGTTTGAAGTTTAAAAAAGCAACCCTATAAAGGAAGAAACCATCTGAAACGCTGAGGCGTCACGGCCCATTCATAATAAAAATCACCTTTCAATTAATAAATACATCATTCATAAAAATAACAGAAAATGAGAAATAAATTAAACAGGAGTCGTTTCAAAGTCAACGACTCGATTCCTATTGAAAACAAATTCACAGAGAGGCAGATTTGGAGCAACACGACAACGCCTCTCAGCCGCTCCTCTCTCCTCAGAGTCATTATTGCTGGTGTGATTGAGATTAAAAGGGAGGGGGAGAAGAAAAGAGCATGAGTGGAGAAACACACAAAACAATAAAAGCACCATTTGAAGTGTCAGTTCAACGCCTTTCCATTTTTCCGTCTTCTTAGCACCGCGTTTCCTGCTCGCTCACCTCAGAGCCAAACGAACAGGAAGCCCCCTGCAGCAGGTGCAGCTCAGCTTCACCTGCTGCTCCGTCGGGTTGCAGAGAAGCAATAAATGTCAAAGCAGGAGAGGATTTGTTTGCAGATGTGATGCAGGTGGTTTCTGTGTGGAAGAAACACTTTTTGCTGTTGACTGGTCAGACGTCTGTCCCATTCGAATGCCTCAGAAGCTTCAGTCCAACTGTCTGAGGAGGACTTGTCCTCGCTCCTCTACTTGTTTCTTCTTAGTGTGCTTGTTGTGGAGTCGTGCATTTGCTTTCAAATCCGATACCCTGTCTCCTAAGCATGCACGGTGAGCGCGTTTTACGTGTCAATTTGTTCACTTATCTTCGGGCAACAGTTATTTTTTTTCCTCGGAGTTTCCAGATTACAAAAATGTCTGATAACAAATATACAAATGTTTTTTTTTTCCCTTCTTCAAGTAAACACGAACTCATCTCCTTTAATTTTTTGGAGTGGGGGAGGGTTACACAAAGACACGACTGTGTCTGTTGAGCTTCAGGATCTTGCCCAGTCTCTGCTTGGCTGTGGCCATTCCTTTTTTGGGCCTTTTACCTGAAAAAATAAACAACTTAATCAGTAGAAATTAGAGACAAAACAGAAAAAGTCACCTTCACTGCAGCCAATAACATTTTCATTAGGAATTTGTCAAAATTAACTAGCACGCCTTGTCAGATTACAGGAAAACTAGAATTGGTAAAGGTTCCTACAGTGCTGAAAAGTCTGGTTACCACAGTTAAATAAATTCTTCTGAATCAGACGAGATAGAAACGTTCTTTAATTGTCAAACCTTTTGTGGCCTGATTGCTGATGGGTGGGGGGTTAGGGGCGTGTCTCTTTGATGGGTGCAGAGGTGGGGACATGGAGGGGTCACAGTACTGGTAGTCCGTCTCTGGGCTAGGCAGCCCTTGATTGTCCCAGGCCTCACTGCTGCTGTTGCCCTGGCTGTCCATGGGGCTCTTGTCCCCCTGCAGTCTATGCTGGTCCTGCAGAGAGAGCTGGCTGGGGCTGGACCACCAGGACTCCTGGAGCGAGCGTTCCTCCTCCGCCTTTGAGGAGCACAGCAGACCAGCCATGGACAGCATCCCCTGAATGGCCTCTTCTGTGCTGGGTGAGGTAGGACGTTCTCTGCGGGAGGTTGCAAAAGTTTTTTAAAAGGTGTCTCAATGGGATTGTTTTACAGCTCTCATTTCCACCGGACGACCACACGGTCTCTGCACGAATATCAAACTGTCTCTCTGACGTATCAAAATGGATGAAACCCCACCATCTCCAACTCAACCTCTCTAAAACTGAACTACTTGTCATCCCATCAAAACCATCCATACAGCACAATATCTCAATCCAAAATGACTTCCTATCTCTGGCTCCTTCAAAGGCAGTTCGAAATCTGGGTGTTGTGATTGATGAACACCTGACCTTTAAAGATCATGTTGCCTCTGTCGCTCGTTCATGCCGCTTTGCGCTGTATAACATACGAAAGATCAGACCATACCTAACACAACATGCCGCCCAGCTCCTGGTGATATCTACTGTCCTCTCCCGCCTCGATTACTGCAATGCCCTTCTAACTGGTCTTCCAGGCTGTACTGTGAGACCTCTTCAAATGGTCCAGAACGCAGCGGCGCATCTGGTCTTCAATCAGCCAAAAAGACCACATGTCACCCCTCTGTTCATTGAGCTCCACTGGCTACCGCTAGCAGCACGCATCAAATTCAAATTGCTAACACTAGCATACAAAGTCTGAGACGGTACGGCTCCCATCTACCTGAATCCTCTTGCAAAGGCTTACGTCTCGGCCCGGCCGCTCCGTTCATCACAGAATCGTCTGCTAGCAGTGCCTACACCACACTCAAGACAATCCAGACTCTTCTCATGTATCGTTCCACAAATGTGGAATGACCTACAACGCACTACCAGAACGGGGGCTTCCTTTTCAATTTTCAAGAAACTCCTGAAGACCCTGCTCTTCAGAGAGCATCTTCTAAACTAGCACCCTCCCTGCACCCGTGCCCCCTCTCTACCGTCTACTCCTTTGTTCCCTCCTCTCCATGATTGATGTCAAGTTGTTGTTGTTATTGTTGTTGTTAGCCTCAAGGACAACATGCCGATTATCACTTGTAAGTCGCTTTGGACAAAAGCGTCTGCTAAACACATAAACATAAACAACAGCGATGGAGCGGGGTTTCTCACCGTTTGAGTGGTTCGTGTTTGTGCCTGAGTTTTTGACTAGATCGGTCTAGCTTGATGGTGTGCCCTGAGCCCGTCTGCCTCTCCTCTTCATCCTGGGAACTCTCTGAATCGTCGTCTGAAGAGGACGATGAGGACGACGAGGATGACGAAGCTTTGCGCTAGATTGGAAAAAGCCATTTTAAAGTGGGCGCATCAGTGATCACAGCTGTAGGTCAGCAAAGAGATCCAAATCACAACATGAACCACTGACTGATTATACAGTAAACATTTAATATCTAGCTTATCTAGTGAAATATTTACCTTCTATCTTGCTTGTTTTGAAGCTCTTTAGAAAATGTCTCTAATCACTGAGCTACTTTAACGTTTTTTACAATATCAAATCTGATAAATCATTTACTTCTGTGGGAGAGTCGCTGTCCGACTCTTCGTCCGACACACTGGAGTGTCCTGAGACGTCTTCCCTGAGTTCAGTCTTCACCCCCTCCAGACCCCCTGTGATGCACATGAGCAGATCATCAACTCGGAGTCTATAATGAACAAACCATGCCAGGGCTCCAGCTTTGCTTCAGGACAGTCACTGCTGACTTACTGAGAAGTGTTGCTTTCTCATCCGTGCTGCGCTGCTCTCGACTGTCCTGCGTCTGCTCCGACTTCACATCCGCACAACTCTTTGGTGGGCCGTGGCCGACGGGCGACTGTTCACTTCGCGTCTTTACAGGACTGCTTCCTGGTCGCCTCAGATCTCTGCTGGATATGATCAGAACGTAAAGAAAGGAGTTAATTCCAACACTAATGGAAACTTACTTCATACCTCCAATCTCAGGAGGTGTGAAAAAGGTTTCAACTAACATCACCCCACCGAACAAGGTCCCTGCATGCTGCAGATTTGCGTCAGAGGGGTTTGTGGTGTCCTGCTCTGACATTTTCATCCTTATTGCTAAAATAATTTTGGTGGAATAATTAAGAAATCATCAATGTGATTTTTTTTTGCAAAATGCAAACTATTTTCTACCTTTAGGTTTAGACCCTCACTCTGCTCAGAAAAAAAGAAAAAACATATGCCTGACAAAAATGATCAAAAATGATTAGGACCATCATTTATACAATAAGAATATGAGACTAATTCACACAACATCAAACATGAAAATGTCTGAAAATATTCTAGAATACTGTAATAATCCTTAAAGGGACTTTACGGAGTTTTGAATTTTTATGCTCGTGATTGCCCCCTCAGGCCAAAAGTGTAACGGCAGCTTCAATAGTAGGCTCGTGCACGAGGCGCGCATGCTGTACGTGCACACTCCTTAACGAAAATAACAGCTGAGACAGTCCCGTGTGTGTGTGTGTGTGAGTGTGTGTGAGTGTGTGCGTGTGTGTGAGTGTGTGTGTGTGTGTCCCAGAGGAGAGGAGAACGCGCAGCTAATTAATTAAATAATTTGGTTCTGTACCTTTCTCTTCAGCACAGCCGACAAAGGTTTATGATGGGTCAGTCCTCCTGCATGCTCAGATCATTCCCTTCCCTTGCTTGAAAAATTGTTCCAAAATGAAAGTTGAACCCACATCTTTTTTATCTGTGAATTCAATGCCGTTTGTCGAGTCTCAAATAAAAATTTGGACATCTTACTGTAAAAAAAATATACCATTAATGTAAAAGAGAAACTCTAACTAAACTATGTTCACATCCAGAATCAAACCCGGGACTTCTGCATGAGAGTCAGACGTCTTACTAGGTGAGCTACACACCAAATGACCTCCAACCTATCTGTAACATTTATATCCTTGATTACAGCTGAAACAATGTCAAACCAAAAAACGGTTCGGAGCGAAAATGGCTATTTTGTTGCTAATTTGCAGAAAATATCTAGAAGAAAGTAGCTAAGGGTCCTCAGAAATGTAGCTAGCTTTGTCACTAGGCGTTAGGAACAGCAACAAAGTGGCACTGCCTCTCTCTCTGCTGCTAAAGCTACGGATAGCAAATGCTACGGGCTATGCCTGAGCGTGAACATGCATGAAGCAGCCTGCTCGACTCGAGCATCTCTCTTTTTCTGTGATTTTACAGAAAAACAGGCAATCACAGTAAAAATGCCAGGGCTCATTCTACAGGACCAGGGCATTGCAGGAGAATGTATGAAGAAGACATTTATTATTTCTATACATGTTTTGGCTGTCAAACTTCCATAATTTCCCTTTAAGAGGTTATTGCTGCTGTGACGAGTTGGTTGTGAATGAATGTGTAGAAAGAGCTGCAGCTGCAGGTAAAAGCAGCTTCATCTCAGCTGCTTGAATGCTTTAATAAACCACTACTAACCCCTCCTTTCCACTGCACTAGAAGGCATCACCAGACGCACTACATGGCAATTAGCCTCTGCTACAGTGGATTAGTTCCTCTCCACCTGCAGCGAAGTGAGACGTTTTGGACGCACCCCAGAAGCAAGGGCATGCCATCATAATGTTTGAGTCGATTTTTTATGCGCTACTCTCGCAAAACTTGTCAGACTTTGCACTTTTTAAAACACATCTGGAAAATTTCAAAATAAAAGTCACACGCAGGTGTGTCATTTCCTGTTATAACTCCCTTAGCTGATGTAATCTGAACAGAAAAGAAACCACAGACATTTTTTTTGGTGCATACAGCTGCTTGTTCATTATTGTGTGTGTACTTCTGAAATCAAGTGTGGTGTTTAATTCTCCCGTGATTTTGTGACATCATGTGATCAGCTGTGTGCAACGCTTTCACTCCTGAATGGGAATGAGCTTGCGGATAAACGCCGCTATAACGTTACGCGACACTTTCACGGCAAGTGGAAAGCCGGCGTGAGAGGGAAAATGCTGTTGACTCTTTAATATGGCAGAAATGTTACGTTACTATGACATCGCGTGTTTCTCTTCCAGAGCCCAGAACGATGTATTGGGATTCATTTTAAATGAGTCCGGCTGCAGCATATTGGTGGCCATTGCTTACCAGAAACTTATTTATGTTACTAATATTAGGTTTTAACAGGGTTAAACACCGGCGGTGTTTATTCCGAATTCAACCCCCCCCCCCCAACTCAGAAATAAAACAAAAACAATGAGCATCGGGAAAAATCTATAAAGGCTGAAGAGACAAATCCGCTAAAGTCCTTGACAGAAAAGTGGTGATATTGTTTGACGTGACTGAACAAATGACACGTGACTGGCACGCAAGAGCAAAGCTTGTTTGTAAACAAGAGGAAGCTCCCCTCCTTTCTCTGATTCTCATAAAGAGTGACTGACTGACCCCCGCAAACAAAAACTCTTCCGATCTACACGATTCACGTGAACGTCATATTTGGCTTCAAAAATGCCAATTTTTACCGAAAAGCTACAAGTTTGCAGGTATGTTACTTGATTGACTCAGATGAGTTAAATTGCTGTAATCAGACACAAACGTTACGGCGAAAAACAGAAACTCACCTTATAATTCTTCCGTTGACCATCATGAGCCGTAGGTGGTTGTCCTCCATCATCTCTGGAGCAGAAGCAGCTGCTGCTGATGCAGTCGACACTTTGTTGAATTTTCCGTGAACCTTGGCACAAAACGTTGGGTCCTGTGTAGTGAAGATAAGAATGAATCACATCTGTTCTGTAAGAAGGTTTTTCCAAAGCTGCACCTCCAGCCATGCGCTCCTTTTTGCTCACCTCCTCCAGAGGCCCCACCTCCAGCCGCTTCAGCACGTCCCTGGTGTGCCGTTCCAAGATGTCCAGGTTAGAAGGCAACTTGGGGGCCTGTCCCTGCTGCTCCCTCAGCCGCCGGGCGGCTCTTCTGGCTCGCCGGGCTTGACACAGCCTCTCCAGAGAGCGAGTGGTGAGGCAGCCGTTCATTCCAGAAGACAATCCATATCCCTGAGATTTCACCGGTTTGCTGCCACTCACTGATTCATCCTGCAACATCAAAATATAAGGATCATGATATCATTCAACCATCCACACACGTTCATATATTGGTGGTGGTCAGTTACAGGCTGAAGCAGATCAGACGTAGAGGCGTCTGTATGAGGTATGACTCAAGAGTCGCTCTTACCTCCAGATAGCGGATCTCCTTGGTCAGCTCTTTAATCAGGTGGTTAGGCCTGATATTATCTGGTACCTCACTTGTCGGTTCGGTCACCTGCGAAGCCACGGACAGAGAGAGTGAATTGGAGGTTTGGTGTTGGTGCTGACAGAAATCCACCAGGAGAAGCTGCTGCCAACGCTTACCTCCCTCTTCAGCCAAGTCCTCAGAGCACCGATTAATGCCTTGACTCCATCCACTATGTAGGTAGATGGAGGACAGTTGTCCTCACGTAGCTCTGAAAGGACGAAAAAAATGCAAAAAGTGAAAAAAATGAAAATTTATTTTACGGAGAAAACCAAACATGCTGTGGTTTATTTGCATCAGTCTCACCTTTTAGCATTTCCAAGAGGTTTTTAGCCACATACCAACAGATGGCCTCAAAGTAAGGGAATTTAAAGAGGTCTGGGGTTTTTAGACGACGCTCCATTTCATAACACCTGCAGCACAAAGAGCATCATTAAACAACACTACATTGTAATTCTGATAAACATAAACAGGATTACGAGCGGAGGGCGTTACCTGAGCTGCATGCCAATATTGAGGTTGTGAAGGAAGTTCCCTCCAAATGCCATGCAATCCTGAGAGGTGAGAACGGCGTGGATCCAGCCTGTAGGGGGCACCAGAGCACAGAGGTTCATTCAGCAGGCTGAAGGGGACAAAGTCAAAACTTCTACAGAATTTTTTTTTCTAGAAGAGAAATTATGCAAAAAAATAATAATTAAGACTTGACAGGTGATGATGTTTATATGAACACGATTGATTCACCACCACAAAAAACCAAAACAAAAAGCCTTCCTGAAACAACACAAAGTGAGAAAAAACAGATTCTGGGGGTTTGTTGTAAGACTGATAGACAGGCCTGATAATGCACTAGTTGACTGACCCACTGTGCTCTCTGACCCCCACCTCTCTACACCCTTTCTGCACCTCCCCAAAGATCCCTTTCACAAAGCTGCTGAGAAACCTATGGTTGCAAAACTGAAGATGTCCAGGAGCCGACAGGCAGATCCCGGCGGTGTCTGTCTGGAGCAGCCGGGGGTGGACGGGGGTGGCAGAGGAATGCTATGGTTTTTAGAAGGAACACTGAGGGGCTGATGGACGGATAATTGTGTAACTCGACACATCAGCTTTACTTGGGTGAATGAGGACACCATCACATTCATTAGTGACACGACAGAAATACATTTTCACTGATGCCTTTTTAATTCTTATTATCGAGTTTAACATTTTAGAGCTTTGATTAGGAAAGATTTCCATTTCTGTCATCTGATCTAGTTAATGATAGAAGATTATTAGTCACGGTGTTGGGAGTAATGCAATATAGAAGTAATAGAGTAATCCAACGCATTACTTAAAAAATACAGAAACATCAGTTACAAGCACATTTAAAATAGTTTGCAATTATTACTATTATGCATGGAAAAAAGGCAAACTCTAAAATAACGCAGCGGAACAAATCAAGTTGGATATGGTTGTGAGAAAGCTTAATGTCCATAGGGGCTTCCGTAGCTTGCCAGCGAGCGGCAGGTGGTGACAGAGCAATGTGGTGAGGCAGTTAATAAGTTATTAAGAAAGACTGATTACTTTTGATTTAGGGGTGGAACTTGATTAAAATGTTTATCTATTTAATTAGAGGCTTTGTAATCAATTAAGCTTGATCCCTCGCATTTTAATCGTTCAAGACGTTTTGCGTCCAAACAAATTTTAAAATAAAAAATAGCATCAGTGAGGCACAGATGACATACTCACACTTAAATGAGTATATTTCCGTAACCACAAGGCCTATTTGATTACTTGAGTATCATTATAAAGGTAACCATTGTGGGATTTGTTGGGATGTTATTGATGAAGTGTTAACATGGAACACTGTAAATGTTGTGTACTGAACTGACCACTAGGTGGCAGCAAATCACTGCTAATACATATAGAGGTGTAGTGTAGAGTTCAGGGGAAGTTCTGCTGAGGATTACAAGATGAATGCTGTGTGTGATTGTCCCTCCTGCTGTAATAAAGTTCATATGGATAAAATTACTGCTTGCCTGATTTCTACCAACTATAAAACATAACTGTTAACTCATTCACTGCCAGCCGTTTCCTGATCAAAAAAGCCCTTCGCTGCCAGCGTTTTTCAGCTTTTTTACTGTTATTTTTAAAGAGTCCCAGAACGTTGTGTTCAATGATGTCGACGCCAAAACTAACTAAACAAAGCGGAGACTCACCTCTTAAATCAGGAAGAATCCAATGCGTTTCAAGCGTTATCCGTTCTTTCATAATCCGCTGTTGAATTGTGACCGGCAGACGCTTTTCTGGCTCACGCCTCACTTTTTTTACACAACACATTTAACACATGGATTTTCTGCTTCCTGATCACGTGATGCGTGACGTACATTGATGAAGATCGGCTTTAGAGCTGGGATGTTTGTTCTCACGGTGCTGGGACTCGTTCCGATGCCCAAACAGTAAAAAAATGAAAATGACGACTTTAGTCGTCGTTGGCAGTGAACGGTTAAATTTAAAATGTCAACTTTTGTTGTCAATGGCAGTGAAGTGATGGCAGTGAGTTAAAAAAAAAGATTTTCTTCCTTTCTTTTCTTCATGAAGAGCGATATTGTCATGATTTGTTCAATTAAAGTTTTTGTTGTGTTTGGAGCATGTGTAAAGTTAGTTGTAATTAACACATTAAATTCCCTCCTCTATTTTGATAGTTTGATTAAATACTTCAGTAAAAAATATTTTGTGTTGACCAAGCAGACGCAAAAGTACTGGGGACTTAGTTTGATAAATTAATGGCATTTAGCCAAAACTAACTGAAAAGTAACAAAGTAACATTTTTGAGACGGTAATATTAAACAAACATTACAAGTTTAAAGCTGTAACTAAACTAGTGTGTAACGTCTAGCAATGGTCAGTTTTTAGGTACAGTTTGATCATTCAACATCTAGTCAAAAAGGAGACACGAGATTGCATTTGCTCCCTTTAAATTGGCCTGCCTTCATCCCATCAGCTGGAGCTCAGAGCCTCTCTGCAGCTCTGAACACATGATAACAAATTGTCACCAATAATGTTCTCTCCTCAAGTTCCAACCTTATCGCCCTACAGGATTCTTCATGCCTAACACTCGCAGCTCAGATCAGCTGCTTAATCAAAGAATGACTTCCTAAATATGAAATTCTAAAACTTTTAAGCTAGATAATCATTAAATCAAATCAAATCAAATCAAATCAACTTTATTTATAGAGCGCTTTCACATGGCCAGAATGGACAAACAAAGCGCTGTACATCAATAAAATGCCACACAATAGGACAGAGATATGACCATTAAAATACATTAAAAAATCCATTAAAATACACTAAAAAATCCCTGTAAAATACCGTAATAAATCCTACAAAAATACCATAAGAAATCCATTTTAAAATACAGTACAAAAACCTGAATGCCAGTTCACATTCCATATCCGGCCTACTTCCCCCAACTTCAACGTCCAAAAGCCAGCGAGAACAGATGTGTTTTCAGTCTTCCTTTAAAGGTTTCTAATGACTTGGCCTGTTTTACATCGGCTGGCAGCTCATTCCAGAGACTTGGTCCAAGTACTGAAAAAGCTCGACTACCACGAGACTTCAGGCTGTACCTAGGCACAGTTAGTAATCTCTGGTCAGCTGACCTAAGGGAACGCACACATGCTGGTGGATGACATCGGAAAGATATTTAGGAGCCCCTGTGTTTAACGCCTTGAACACAAACAGGAGGACCTTAAACCTGATGCGATAAAAAACAGGGAGCCAATGCAAGGCACGTAGGACTGGTGTTATATGTTCAGACCTCCTGGTAGATGTTAACAACCGGGCTGCAGAGTTCTGAACCGCCTGGAGGCGTGCTACTGGAGCTTGTCTAAGCCCCGCATATAGCGAATTACAGTAATCCAGCCTGCAGGTAATAAAGGCATGGATTACAGTTTCCAAATGATTATGGGACAGAAATGGCTTAATTTTCGCAATGCGGCGTGGATGAAAAAAGCAAGATCTCGCAACACTGTTCACCTGAGCATCAAATCTGAGATCAGCGTCCAGTTTTACCCCTAAGTTAGAGACCACCGCCTTCTGATGCGGTGCCAGAGTGGCAAAATCAAGCCCTTGGGCACCTCCTGGGGTCTTTGGTGGCGTGAACAGAATAACTTCAGTCTTGTGTTCGTTGAAACACAAGAAGTTCTGAGCCAGCCATTGCTTGATGTCCTCAAGGCAGTCCAACAGAGGTTGAATGGTGCATAAACCACCACGCTTAATTGGAAAAATGACCTGGCAATCATCAGCATAGAGATGGAATGACACATTGTGTTTACGAAATAGTTCACCCAGGGGTATGAGATATAAGGAGAAAAATAGTGGGGCCAAAATCGATCCCTGGGGAACTCCCCATGGCAGCTCAGCCAGATCGGAGGAACAGTCCCCCAACCTCACACAAAAACTCCTCCCAGTCAGGTACGATCGTATCCACTGAAGTGCCTGGCCCGTAATGCCAACAGACCGCTCCAGCCATTTTACCAGGATGTTATGATCAACGGTATCAAAGGCTGATGACAGGTCCAAGAGCACCAGAACCACAGCATCACCAGAATCATTTGCCAATAAAATGTCATCAAGGACCTTAAGCAGCGCCGATTCAGTGCTATAAAAGGGTTTAAACCCAGATTGAAATACTTCTCCAATTTCCCGTTCCTGAAGAAAAGATGTCAGTTGGTTAAACACAGCCCTCTCTATGATCTTTGAGAGGAAAGGGAGTGTAGATACAGGTCTGTAATTGGACAAGATTGTGGGGTCCAATCCTGATTTCTTAAGCAGAGGTCGTACCACCGCCTGTTTTAGGGGACAAGGGACTTCCCCAGAAATCAAGCTGGTATTTACAATTTGCAGGACATGGTTACCCACTACAGAAAAAACTTCTGTCAGTAGCCTTGCCGGGAGAACATCAGTTACCGCCCCTGTCGGCTTAAGTCTCACGACCAGATCCTCAAGTTCTGCAAGAGTTAATGGTTGAAAACCCTCCAGTGCCTTAGGAACACATAGATCTGCATAGGGGGCGTGCTTAAGTGGTGGAATAGAGGCCCTTGTCACCCTTACCTTGTCTACAAAGAAGTCTAAAAAGTTGTTACATGACTCAGTGGAGTTAAATAAACATTTGTTTATTGCTACTTATAATAATTATAATATAATGAAATGTTTCATTAATCTGTGTTCAATAATTGAAGTTGGAAATGAATGTTATGTTATGATTACAGTGATTGAAATATGTTTCAGCATGTTGATATGACGAGGTCATCACCATTTGCACTCACACAAGAACAAAGTAAAGTTAAGTTAAACTCATGACACATAGATAGTCCTTTACCCCAGATCAGAGCATCCGGTATCAAAGATGGCGTGTTTCTGAGACTCTTGGTAATATTCCTCAAACTTGTCAACCTCTGGTTGGCTACACAAATCATAACATGAGAACATTAAAACTGGATCACTCTGGTGATTCAGCAGTTCGAGAAAAAGCTTCAGACCGGCGATCTGAAGCAAAACTCTCTTTAACCAAAGCTTTGGACATGTTGTCAAAACCTTTTTGCACCTGCGAAGCTGATACAACAACAGTTCATGCAGAACAAGCTGATATTGTTCCGGCTCCTTAAAGAGTCCCAGACGTTCCATCCATCTGTCATGACCCGAGACATATCTGGACTGAAGAGTCTGTGCCACGGTATTCTACAGCCCTTTGGTGCCAGAGGTCATCCGACCTCTCTGACCTTCGGATCCACCAAGAGGGTCTCCGAAAACGGGTGAAGTAGACACACAGATAGCGTCTGATGTGGTTTTGATAATAATCAACTTCATAGCTTAACACTAACCAAATTATTTTACATCCAGAACTCAGCTCTCCTAGATACGGAAGTTCTGACTAACATCGCATTCATACATAGGTTCATGCATCACATTTAGTTCCATGCATCACAGTAAATGTTAGTTAACCTGTCATGTTTTAATTGTTGGTAAAATGAATTCTTACTTTTATAAACCTGACTCTTTTCTGAATCAAAACAAAGTGTGTACAATCCCTTGATAAATTACGAATCCTAGAATCTTCTGATTAACACAGTAAAGACCAAGCAGGGTTGATATTCTATGTTTAGATAGAGTATCACAGCTTATTGGTCATAAGTAGAGGTAATATCTATTGAACTCTTAAAGCACTCAATTTCCTAAACCCTACCAGTGAAATAAATCACAATTTTAATGCAACTTGACCAACGCTGGTTCGATAAAATCTAGATATTGTTTTTCGTGCAGGAAGCAGCTGGAACAACGATAAGTTCAACTTTTCACTGAATGTGATTCAATAATGAAGATGAAAAAGAAGCAAAATGGCATCGCCCTGCAGGCACACACAGCTGTGTTTGTGTGAAAAGTTTGCAGCCCGTTTCTTTGAACCCACAAGGGTTTATAGGCAGCTTGCTTTGGGGTTTGGTTCAGATTAACTCAAATTATTTGAGTCAGTCTGATTAGTGTGGTCTGTTTGGGCTGATGACAAAGTTGCCAGGCAAAAAAACAAGAGTTCTTTTGACAAAGTGCATCTGAGTACAGAGTGGTTCACTTTAACTCGAAGGAAAACATCGTTCTGAGAGCATTTGTGTTGAGACATATAAACAAACACAAAAGGCATGCAGTTATATCAGTTATGCAGGAAGCTTGCTCTAAGTGTGACTGGTGTAGAATTATGCTTGTTTACATGTGGAGATTAGGGACGAGGATGAACTTCTTAAAGTTTGTGTGCAGAACGAATCAACTCAAGCAAACACAGACGTGCTGCTACATTTTTAAATACTCAGGCTCAACACATCAGTCAGTGCCTTGTTTTGTTTAAAATTATAACTGTTGTAGATTATCAGATGCAAAGATCATATAATAATAATCAGAATCGGGCACTGAAAAATATATTTATCATCATTTCTAACGATTAATAAAGTTCATCTTCAGCCTCACAGAATGTGAACCTTATGCACCTGTCATCATCAATGTAATGTCCACAAATGGTCAGTTTTCGCCAACAGATTGACCTATAGGTCATCGGTCACATGCAGATAATTCCAGCCTATGAGGTGGATTTTATATTCTATCTGCCAACAAGCCACAAGATCCTGCACTGCTTGTTGACATCTTAGAATCATAACATTGACATCCTGTTTTTTCCAAGGTCCCTCACAGAGCACCCTTTTATCCAAGACTGCTTGCTTTACAGAAAAAAGATTTAAAATTAAATATGAAATTCTAAAACTTATAAGCTAGATAATCATTAAATAAATGTTTGTTTATTGCTACTTATGATAATTAACACAATGAAATGCTTTCATTAATCTGTGCTCAATGATTGAAGGTTGAAATGAATTTTATGTTGTGATCACATTGATTGATTGCATGTTTACTTGACAAGGCCATCACCATTTGCACTCACACAAGAACAAAGTAAGGTAAAGCCCATGACACATAAACAGTCTTTTACCCAGATCAGAGCATCCAATGTGTTTCTGAGATTCTCGGTAATATTCCTCAAACTTGTCAACCTCTGGTTGGCTACACAATCATAACATGAGAACATTAAAACCAGATTACTCTAGTTTTCCCTCAGTTCTAGAGAAAGCTCCAGACCAGCCCCCTGATGAAACATCTCCTTAACCACCAAAGCTTTTGACACGTCGTCAACACTTTTTTGCACCTGCGAAGCTGATACAACAAAACAGTTCCTGCAGAACAAGCTGATTTATTCAACTCCTTAAGAGTTATTCCTGAGACGCAAACTAGTTCCAACTGTTGTTACCTGGAGATGACTCTGGACTGACCTGGTCGTACTGCAGTTAATCTACGGACTTCAGTAGCTGGGGTCTCCGAGCTCTTAAAGCACCCAATTTAACAATTTACCACATAAAAGCAATTAAAGTATCTTTGAATTGAATTCAATTGCAAAATAAAAGCACAAGTAAAAGCATCTTTAACAAATTTCAACCAAACAATAGTTATCCTTTAATTTTCAAATAATGTATTATATGTCCACTTCAGTGGACAATGTGTTCTGTACATGAAATATGTTATCTTGACTCATTTGAGTACACTGGAGGGGCTCAAATGCAACAAAATCTGTGCTTAATAGCAAAAAATACCCAAACTTTGAGTAGCTGTCTACTGTAGTGACCAATATGCAAGAAAGGGTTAATACAACACTGCAGAGAAAAGACACTTTTCCAGTAACGATCGTGCATCGTGGTGTAGTTTACCATGTTGTAACTCCTGACACTTGTTTTCTACTTAAAAACAACCCAAAACACACACCTGTAGGGATGAGCAGGGTGGTTCCTTGGGGAACAACACACTTGTAGCACTTTTCCACTTTGTCCCCAAAGAACACTTCGCTCTGATTGGGCGAGGAGCTCCATGCCTCATATAGTGCAAGGTTGGTGGGAGAGGGTTTGATCAAGTAGAAGATCTTCTCTCCCTGCAAACCAAACGAACAGGTGTTCGAAGTAAAAACTGTAATGTTTAGAGTAACACCACCTGCTCGGACTCCAGTGTCAAAACTAATATCAGCAACAGTTTAGAAATAAGAGGAGAAATCACTCCCACTAAAACCGCCGAGCTTTCTTTGTTTTAAAGGTATATCATGCAAATTCTACTTGCTTTTGACCAGGTTTTATTGTTATTTCCTCATTAAAAAAAACCATAGAAGTTTTTGGCTTCACACATAAATTTTTCTGTCTCAGCTGCTCTGCAAATTCTTGCTGAGCTACTGCAAACGGCTGGATGGGGTTGTTGCTGCGTCATCATTGCCCCGCTCCTCCCCATCCAGGTAGTTCAGATCCCTCTTGCCCTGGACTGTAAACACTAACGTGCAGTCTCTCCGTGTAGCTAGCAGCGAGTTTAATCTCCACAGTTGAAAAGAAGTGATATTTTTCTTATCTAGTCTGCACTTTAAATAATGCATACAACCAAAAATTCCTGAATGAGCAAAAATGGTTGGATTTTATCTTTATAAGCTCTCAGAAACAGAGGCAGAATGTGACTGTTATTTCACAGACTGAATGTTAAACCACTGCTGGTACCAGAGTGGGTTTTCAAACAGATAACTTCTTCATGATCCCAATCTGCATCTAGCATGAATCAGCTAAAGCAGATTTCATGTTTTTATATTTTAGTTTTATTGATTATTTTTTGCTGAATATTTTGTGTCTCTAAAGATCTTTGAATTTGGTCGTTTCCAAGCAGCATTTTAGTTGATTTACTCGGCTCACCTCACATGGACTCACACTGGCTAAATAAAGTAAAAAAATAAAAATAAATAAATAAATAGATAGATAAATAAACAAACATATTAGTTCTTATATTTTAAACCGTTTACCAATAAAGGGTTGAAAACATCATACTGGCAAGTATAGCTTAAAAAAAGACGAAAAAAAGTTACTACTGAGACCAAGATGCCAACCTGGCACTCTAGCCACTGGACTACCAAGTCTGCAACACGACATAAGCCACATATCCTGTGTTGACCAGAGGAGACAGATTTCAGACCAGACTAGCTTACGAGAGAGGAACCATGCATGATGACGAGTTTTCATTAAGGCTTTACAGGATTTTCAAAGTAAAACTCAAAATTTGCAGCTCAGACAGGAAAATACATGAATGCAGCCAAAAATGGTTTTTTTTAGGAGGAAATAACATCACATTGATTTTCAAGTAGAGGCCGACAATGTTTTTTTAAGGCCAACATCGATTTTTTAAGAATTTTGTTGCCGATGTCCGATATCTAAAGCCGATTATTCAGGCAGATATATACATATATACACGTTTTAGCAGCACGTTGTGAAAGAAAACTGAACACTCACTGTGTGCAATATAAATTTAATAGGCCAATAAATCTCTTAATATTTATTGAACTTCAAATATAAGGCAAAATTTAAAAAAAATACTGTGTTGGGGTCCTTCGGTACATTCAGTCTAGTAGAGGCGGTAGTTGGCCACTCAGGTGCCTGATTTGTTTTATTTATTTATTTTATTATTTTCTATTTATTTATTTGTTTAAATCGGCTTTTAAAAATAATTCTGCCCATTGGCCGATATAGAAAAAATTGAATATATCAGCCTGATGTATCGGCCGGCCGATATATGGAGACGAGTTCTGCCCTCCCCTAGCTGCCAAATCAGCAACAGCCTTCAGCAGTTACAAGCCAAGGTGGGCGAGCCCATTAAAGCTAATCTTTCCAGTGACATAAAAGAGTCTGGGCTTTTCCTGACCCGATCATTTTTCTGTACATTTCCTTTCCTCGGCTAATGCAGACGATGGGGGTTGACAAAGTCTTTCTTTTCTTAATCATTTTTTTAAATCTTTTTTATACATACATTTTTTTTATTTTGTTTTTATGAAGAACCTCGTGATTTTTATCTTGAGAGGTGCTATATAAAAGATTGTTTTCTTTCATGCATATGCAACTTAGTAGTACAGTTTTTCAGTGAACAAGACCTTAACACTTAGAGACACTTACCCAGAGAACATGATACCAGACTGAGGTTCCTCCAAAGTCTATGTGGAAGTCTGTGTAGCTGTCTTTAACCCCCATAAGGCAATACTTCTGGACAAAGGGCTTGGGGAAGAACGACTCATCTGGCCAGTAGTTTTCTACCCAGGACATCTTCTTGGCCACGTCAGGAACCTCCACTAACTCTGACATCCTGCGAGGGGTTATAGAGAAGGACTGCGTTTAAACAGATCATTGTCCTTCTGAAATGGATCAAATCCAGTAAACCTATTAACTAATTAAGCAAAAGATTATATCGAATAAAAGGTATGAAGGTTCTTTCAGCAAATAAGCATCATGGAAAATTTTAGAGCATCGTACTTGGTGTCTGAGAACTCCAGGCTTATGAGATTGAGGACCTTAGGTCGATGGGGCTTGGTGAAATACTTGATAAACTCGCTGAGCTTCATCTTGCTGTCTGCCTGCCGCGCCACGTCTATCACATCGATAACTTTGTCACCACCTAGACGGAAGGAAAGAACTCGTCAGTTTGTGCAAAATCAGAAATCTGAAGGTCGCCAGATTCCTGAGTGAAGAATATGAAACGTTTTAATTGGATACAGAGTGGGCAAGAGGCTCAGAGGGGTCAGCAGCTAGCTGGCATCTCCTCGTGCTTTTAGAGATCGAGCCCTGAGGGAAACTGGCATCAATATGGCAGCGTGGGGAGGGGATGCAAGCGAGACAATCTGTCCAGACCCCCAGTCCCAGAGGACAAGGAGTGGGTGGAGGTGAGAGGGATGGCTGAGTATTTTGCCAAAGCATATAGAGAAATACATTCATGGATGTGAGAGGTGGACTGAGCAGAAGCGAAACGTGTGTTTACCCGTATGAGAACGAACACACACACACACACACACACACACACACACACACACACACACACACACACACACACACGAAGAAAAGAAGCCAAAATAGAGACTCTGTGGAAACAGTTAGGACTCTAGAAATCACAATTGAGCGACACATGGCACTAAAAGTTGTACTGAGGTTCTGTGTGTGCGTGTCACCAGACAGCTGGCTGCTGTATTTTCCAAACACCCCCTCCCACACACCTTTTATTACCCTGTATTCTGTGTCTGAAAAGCTACAATACAAATCAATCCCATTTAAAAGCATCACTCTTAAATCTAAACATTTACTCAACAAATTTCGAGTTTAGTACAGGTTGTGTGTAGATACAGAAAACAACTCCATGTTTTAAACTAGCTTTCTGGAAAAATAATGTAACGACAGGCTTAAAGAGTCCCCGGAAAACTCAACAGTGGGATCAGATACTTGAAATCTGTTCAAAAATCACATCCATCCATTCATAAGAATCAAACACTAGGACCAATGTTTTACCACACGCCAGGTTTGATTAGAGACCCTTGTGAGCTGCAGACGACATCAGTATCCACTCCTATTGTCCAAGTGTCTTTGAGAAGAAAGAAATGCAACCAGACACCAGTCTCTGGTCACAACACCTGTGCTGTGGCTTAAAGCTCAATAGGGCATGAGAGGAAGTGATAGAGAGAGGAACAGAGTCTGTAATCTGAACTTAATGATAAAAACACTGGTGGGCTTGGTAATGGGCTTGTAATAGGAGCTGGGAAGTGGCAGGCTGTTTTCGGTAAAGGAAGCATAGTGGTCATAGACAGGCCAGTGAAAGCTTAGCCGTCACTCATTTAGGACTCACTCAGCCATCGCCTGATGCCTGATAAGTGGGTTAAAACCCCATGAACCTGGAAACCTGCTCATACTGGCACACAGATGGCGCCTGGCTGGTGTTGGGTCATTTCATTAGCTTCTAAGCAGACTATGAACACAGAACGCCTGCATCACCAGGCTTACGCAAACACTGGTGAAGCTAAGAAAATAGGTTTAAAGCTTGCTGATGTCATGTTCTTACCGACATACTGCTCCACATCTTTTACAGAGAATGTGGGTGGGGGTAGCTTCAGGCCCAGACCCTCCATCTCGGTGATCACCAACGGGTAGTTGAAGCCGTGTCTCTCCAAGTACCGGGGAGTCACCTGCTCACCCCTCATTCGTATCAGAAGCTCGTCAGCGCTGGAGAGTAAACCACATCACAACAAACGGAAACATTACATCTAAAACAGGTTGACAGGCATCTCGTTTGCTTTGTCAGGTAGGAATTAATCTGTACTTTTCTCCAACTGCACTTTCCATCGTTACTTTTATGAAAAAACAATGAAGGTAAAGTCAGTGACTTGATGCAATCTGCTGGGTTTCCTTAGAAAACTTAACTAGTTTGCCGCATAATAAAGCCCTTGTTTATGTTTGTTAACATTTACTTGTATATTGTGTAGCGGTGAACGGTACGCAACTGGACCGAACCGAAACGGTTCAAACACCCCCCCCCACCCCCCCACCCCTGTGAACTGTTACACCCCTAATATTGTGTATTGTTTTTCATTGTAAAAAACAAATCAAAATCAAACCAGCTAATTGGAATAATGAACTGAACTCAATGAACTGATAAGTAGGTTCAGTTGGAAGGTTTTCTTTGTAAAGTGCCTTGAGACGACTCTTATTGTAAATTGGTGCTAAATAAATAAACTGACTTGATTTAAACCACTAAACATCTCATAAGATGGACTCTTGACCCTTTGCATGTGACATCACGCTGTTCATGGGAACACCTCGTTCGCCGTGATGGACGTCAAGGAACTGTGGTCGTAGCAGAAGGCTACTCATACCGAGTCAGGTTCTGCTGGAGGTTTCTTCCTGTTAAAAGGGAGTTTTCTTCTCCACTGTCACGACACGCTAGCTTAGTATGAGGATTGCTGTTAAGTCACTAACACAAGTCAGTGACTCGATGCAATCTGCTGAGAAAGGGTAGAAAATTTTAACTAACTGGCATAATGAACGGTATTCAATTGGAATGTTTACTATGTTTACGCGAATTCCATTTTATTTGGTGTACCAGCCTCCGCTCTTAACAGGCTTCAGGTGGTACAGAATGCAGCAGCCAGGTTTCTGACGAACACCTCTAGACGTGACCATATCACACCTGTACTAGCGCACCTCCATTGGCTACCGGGAAACTTTAGAGTGAAGTTTAAAATTCTGATCTTTGTTTTTAAGGCCCTGAATGGTCTGGCACCAGATTACCTGTCTGACTTTGTGACTCGCTATGTGCCAAACCGGGCATTGAGATCTGCCGATTGCTTGCTGCTTCATGCTCCCACAATGAAATGGAATGCTCTTCCTCTCACCATCCCTCCCCCATTTCAAGTCACTGCTTAAGGCCCACTTTTACGACCGGGCATTTTTAAACCCTTGACTTTTATTAATTATTTTTATTATGTATTCTTTTCTTGACTGTGATTTTACTGCTTTGTTGTGTACTTTTATTATTGATTGTGTTTTAATTTTTATGTTGCATTTTACTTTTTTATCTGTACAGCACTTTGGTTGGCTGCCATGCCGTTTTTAAAAGTACTTTATGAATGAAGTTGGTAGGGTAGGGTAGGGTAGGGGGTATGGTATGGTAGGGTAGGGTATGGAATGGTACGGCACGGTATGGCATGCAAAGTGCCTTGAACTGACCTTTTTTGTGAATTGGCGCTAAACTGATTTGAACCGACTTGTGCAAGGTAAACTCCTGCAAAGCTAATCTAAAACAAGCCCGTTTGTAGCCTTAAGCTTGGTTTATGCTTGAAGCATTCACTTTCCGCGCGGTGATGCGGCTCGCGGATGGAACGCGCTTCACAACTCGCAGCGTTTATGGTTTGTGCGGCTCGTCTCTGCGATGAGCCAATATTCTCCCGAAATGTAGGGGGCAGCATGGAGCTCTTCGGCATGCATCCAACACTACACCATAGTAGAAGTAGAAATTACTGTTGATTACAACTTCAGCATTTTTAACAGCGTCCTCGTCTTTTCCGACAGTGCGAGCCATTTCTCTCCAAGAATGATTAACAACATGTTGATCCCGGTGATTTCTGAGAGCTGAATCATACAAATGTCTGTATTTACGAACCCCTGCCATACTATTTCTTGCCGGTCCGCCATGTTTTTCCGCGTCCGTCCGTCCGCGTGGTTAGAAATTTTCCGAGGTGCGCGTTGCGGAAATCTTGGGCCGTGCGGAGACGCGGGGTTGTTAAAATGACGCAAAATGACGCAACTTTTCCACGCGGAGCCGTGCGGACCTCGCGGACACGTCAAGCATAAACCAAACTTTATATTGCTTTTACGTAGCCGATTTCTCCGTAACATGGTCAAACTTTGCTGCGCAGTTGGCTGCACTAACAGGGAAGGGTGCAAACCCAACTTGTCGTTTTATTGGGTACTTTTGATGGAGACGGAAGACGGACATGAATAGCAGCTAACAATCAAAAGGACTGGATGCTCTCAAAATATTCGCAAGCTATCTTGTCCCTCTGTGTGAGAGTAGCACCTGGTCCCAGTCAGCAACAAAAAACTGATAGGAATCCAGACTTTTAAATCAGCGTCAGTATTGAGGTGAAACGCAGTTTATCACATAGTGTTATGAATCGGGCGAGGCGAGTTGTGGCAAAGTCAACGACTTGAACAAATCGATGAACACAGCAGCAGGGAGAAGGTAAGGGTCAGTTTTAAGGCTACCTAAATAACTTTTGTAAATAATGCTCTCTATAAGCTCCAACTAGCTGTGTTACTTCTTCCAACAAGTGAACTGGCCTTGAAGTAGTACAAGCCAGGCTAAACTGGCAGAAAAACAACAATCTCAGGCACTTCCTTGTGTTAAATACTACGGTCACTCACTGTTTACGTCCACCATGTGATCAGGGGAAGTAGTTGCAAAGGGCCAATAGTAGTGTAGTAGTGGTAGTAGTAATATTAGTAGTGGAAAGAGTGGTGAGACTCATTGTCATCGTTAACTCATTCACTGCCAAAGACGACTAAAGTCGTCATTTGGATTTTTTTACTGTGTGGGCAGAGCCCCCGCACCGTAGAACAAACATCTCAGCTCTAAAGCCGATCTTCATCCGCGTACGTCACACGTCACGTGATCAGGAAGCAGAAAATCCATGTGTTAGGAGATCATTTTGGGCCGCTGCTGTAAAAAAGGTGAGGCGCGAACCGGAAAAGCTTCTGCCGATCACAATTCCACAACGGATTATGAAAGAATGGATAAAGCTCGAAACGCGCGGATTCTTCCTGATGTAAGAGGTGAGTCTCTGCTTTGTTTTGGTTATTTTGACGTTGACATCATCCTAGCGCGCAACGTTCTGTGACTTTTAAAACAACTGTAAAACACGGTGAGAAACGCTGGCAGCGAAGGGCTTTACCGATCAGGAAACAGCTGGCAACGAATGAGTTAAAATATGGAAAAATAGCACTCAACTATCTCAGATTTAACATCCAACTAGTCAGAATTTGGATTCTGAACAAGACCAGAATCTTTTGTGATTTACACAATTTCAACATTTAACAAGCTATCTTAAACAATCACAAAAGCCTCTGTAACTACCCCACATCACAGCTTTGTATAAAAAAAATAATTATTTTCTTTTTTTTTTTAACGCAGGTTATTCCTACTAAAATAGAAAGATCTTCTGGTTAAAACACAATCAAAGGACTCGACTTGTTTGGACATTTGTGTTCATGCCCACCTGGGGAAGGTTCTGTTCTGGAGCTTCTTGATAAATACTGAAGTGCCTGCCTGCACTGGTTGTGATCCATCATCTGGCTCTGTGTAGTCATGCCTGTGCCAGTTGTTGCGTTTTTTCACTGCAAAAAACAAAGTTATAAGTGGTTCACCATCCTTTTCCTTCATTCCAATTCCATGCAGCCTTTGTACCCCTTGAGAAAAGTTCTTCAGAAAATGTGGTATTGATTACAATTATCTTTCATAAGGGGACATTAATTCACTACTAAAACCCTGTGCAAAGATACGAATGGGCTTGTCCAATCAAAGAGGAGGGTTTACAACACCATTCGATTAGCCAGCTAATATCTGTCCTCTGGGCTCTCAAAGGTTAACCCAGCCCCCAGCCTCTTAAAAAAGTAATCAGACACGACTAACTGCAGAGAGCCATTGTCCCCCAGGACCGTCCAACACACACAGAGTTGGCGGGCAGTTCATAAAAACAATGCAAGATTGTAAGTAACGTTAAGACACAGACAAGAACGCAAATAAAAAAAAATGCTAAGGAAACCTGCCAGTAACGAGGGCATTACTCACTCAGGGAGGGTCCGTGTTTGACATCACAATTGGGGCAGTGGTAAACATCGATATCCACAGCATGATGCTCCTCTACCTGAACACAGCTGAGGAAGAAGAAGGGTCAAGAGTTACAGACTTATTCACTGTATTGTAAAGCGTTTTAGAGTCCTTTGATTTTGAAAGGCATTATACGAGTGTAGGTCATATTTACAACAGGTTCAAAGAAACACATAATCAAACCGGCTTTGGCATCAACTCTGGACTATTTAGCCTTGGGCTTTTATTTGAGTCAGGAGCAGATGGAGGTACTTAAGTCCTTTATTTAGAAAAAGGATGTATTTGCGTCTTCTTCGACAGTGTATGGTTGACCGACATCCGTAGCGGTAAGTACGTCACGTTTTTCATTGTCCAATAACATGTGGAGACAGTTTGAAAGACACCCACAACTGAACTCCGTCTATGGGTCGCGACTCGTGGCCATCCCATAAATTTACATATATAGCATGACTTGCCAGACTAGCGAATAAGTAAACTGAGTGATAAAGTTTAGGTCTATAACCCCCAAATTCCACTACCTCCGCTCCGCTGCGGTCCGCCCCCGCCTTCCGCAGCCGCTCGCTTCTGAACTCAATTTTTACTGGTACCCGCTCTACAACGGCTCCGCTCCGGTGCGGAGACCTGAGGTGGGCAAACAAGCATGCGCGGGATTTTCAAGATCTTGCGATACAGTCCGAGCAATAAACGCGGAAGTTAGATCCAAACACCCGTTGTGTGGGAGAAGCATCGGCATGAACTGTTTAATCTGCCCATCATTTGTGTTGAGAGATCAGCAGTGTTTGGATCAACAAAGTGTGACTACTTTGATAGTGGAAACTGTATTTATGGCTTACTTTTGTGCATTTAAACTTCAGCCGCCATTGATAGTTGTTAAAAGTTGTTAAACCTGTGCATATGAAACAAAAAACGCCTTTTGTTTATCGATTTATTGTGAAAAACGGAAGTTGTGCTTGCTCCTTTTCCTGTTGGGTGATGGTGATTTCTGTCCATTGACTGCGGAGGTGCTCCGGCGTCCGGCGAAAATAGGATTGATTCTATTTTTGCCAGACGTCGGAACAGAGGGCGGCGCATGGCGCCGCACTGCCGGAGCACGGCCGGAGCACGGCCGGAGCACGGCCGCAGTAGTGGAATTGCTCTGATTGACTACAACGGGACCGATTTTGCTCCGGCGTTCGTGTCGGAGCGGAGCGGAGGTAGTGGAATTTGGGGGTAATAATAACCAGGGTATCTGCAGGTGTAATGGAGCCAAATTTAAGACTTTTTAAGACCTTTTTTAAGGCCACTTTGACCAAATTTAAGCCATTTTTAAAAATTAAATTGAAGCTATAATTTCCAGCTATTGCCTGGAACCGGTGCTAACCACGTCGCGAACTTGGGATTAACCATCCAGTTACCATTAAACTTGCACTTCTCCATGGCGCAAGCTCCCACTAGCTTAACCAGCTAAAGTGCTCATCTAAAAATAGCCCCCTTTCACAACCAACTGAATGTGTACGGTTCCACTTACGCCAACATCACACACAAAAATTGCTGAACACTAACTAGAAATTCACGAAAATTTTTATAGAAATAAAATAATCTTGTTTATTGGGTCTTTGGTAATTTAAGACCTTTGGAAACTATATTTAAGGATTATTTGTCATTTTGAAGGATTTTTAAGGCCTTAAATTTGGAAAAGCAAATGTAAGACTTTTTAAGACTTTTTAAGGACCCGCGGATACCCTGAACAACACATCTCTGTTGCACTCCCACCATTTAATTAGATCCATTTTTATGACAGATTAAAAAGTTTCACATCTGTTTGAGCTCTAAATCAGACGGTAACATCTGCTAGAATAGAAATACATTCCAGAACCCCATAAAAAGCAGGCAGCTTTACTGGAATAATTTGAAAAGCAAAAAGGACTAATTAAGTTGGTGCCACCCATTCAGCTAGCACCGACTGTTCTGCAACAGCAAAACCACAAGCACACGCATTCCTCTGCTGCATACCACAGACCCCAGTCCTAAGAAGCATGGGTTGAACAGACTGCAAACAACTTGTGACACAAATAGTGCAGCGATGAAGAAAATAAGCATTTTGTCTGTTTTGTTTGTCAAGGGAAAATGTAGTTTAAAAATCTGCTGATGTAACATCTGAGTCCAAGAAGTAAAAGCCTAGAGATTAAGATGAAACTAACCAACCTCCTGCTCCTGGCAAATACCATTTGTAAGAAATTGCAGAAAACGGGGATTACCAGTGCAATCAAGGACTTTTTCATAAAACAATGTCACCAATTTGCTGCAAAGCTGAGGTGGCATCAGAGAGCCCGAGTCGTTCGTATGTGGTCTGACTGTGCCACTAATGTTGTGCGATTGTTTGCTTTTCACAGAAGATTACATGATGGAGGTATAAAGTAGGTGAGGCTGCTCCAAAAGATGCCTGTCCTCCACAGTCCCCGTGAACCGTTTGATCTGAGCTTCAGCTCTAACGGAGAGCAGCTCCCGGAGCTCGGCGTCGCTCCAGTTTGCCGTCTTAGCTGAATCTGTTTACAAAAGTGAAACTAACTGTCCGCATCAACTTTCTTTTTCAATATAGTTGCCGGACAGAGCTCAGGGAACATTACACATGTAATCCAGACTTCCCCCTCTGTTGCATGAAGGTGTAATCTTCATTCACAAGTCCAGTGTTGCTGTACTATTACTACAGAGATTGACGCATGAAAGCTGCAAAATTCACGCATCGTAATGCCATCACAGTGCTTTCATAAGACACACCGTGGTGGCAGTAATACGTTGATTTGCTGGCACTGTGACTCTGTAAAGGGCTTAAGAGTCACCAGCTCACTAGGAAGTGGTGAGCTTGGGTGAATGCAGGCCTAGAATCACCATGTTGCACCAACAGGATATAAACAGTAGCTTCCTCTTGAATCTGACGTATAGACATTAAGGCAACAGTTTCCTCCAACAACACACAGAAGGATAAAAAAAAAAAACATAAAGCACTCCAGCTCCCCCACAGCAGAAAGCAGATTATTAACAATAACACTGTACAGTGCTTGGCTCCATTACCAGGTGCAGCTCATGTGTCAGGAATCTTTGTTCAAACATGTGGCTGTTTACTGAGGGAAAGCAAGAGTAAGCCCCACACTGCCGGTTTTCGCTCAGATGTGAGAGGCAAGCGTGTGTTTGGCCGAGGTCGCCCCCCTTGTCCTCGTCTCATTTTGCTTTATGTAATACCAGAATGGGAAAGAAGGGCACTGTGCCACAAATGCTGGCCTGACTCAGCGTATGCGTCACCACTAATGATCACTATTAACAAGGCACCCAAGCCTGAGAAACCACACTGAGAGGAGAGAAAGAATACCAAAAGGTGGGGGCACGCTCAGCTAAAAGACAACCGAGTACTTCCTGTCTTACTCTGGCTTGGTGATGCATTGCATCATTGCAAAAGCAGAGTGTGCAAGCAGCTCTTGAACTGGTGTGAACTCCATTTACTTGGAAAGCAATCAGTGCAAAGGTTAGATGGCTGATTGGCTGCACCTGGTGGTAAGGCGTTTCCTGTTTTCAGTGTTGCACTACGTGTAGCTGTTTGGTGTTTGGGGCTTGCTAAAACTGATTTAATTTCTCTGTACTAGGATATCTCTGAGTTATTGTAGCACATAAGCATGCTAAAACACACATTTTATGTTGTTCCACCTAGCTTTTAGGGAGCCATTTGAGTTCGCACGCAGTTTATTTGGTGTTGAACAGTTTGCTCGTCCAGTTAGCTTAGCCTGAAACTGCGTTAGTGAGAGTTACAAATGATATTCTCATGGCCTCAGATAAGAATCTTGTGTCTGTTCTAGTCTTGTTAGATCTCAGTGCTGCCTTTGACACAGTTGATCACAATGTTCTTTTAGAAAGACTTGAACATGTTGTAGGGATCAAAGGAACAGCGCTAGGCTGGTTTAAATCCTACCTGTCTGACAGATTTCATTTTGTAAATGTACATGACAAATCGTCTTCATACTCCAGGGTAACTTGTGGAGTACCACAGGGTTCAGTGCTTGGACCAATTCTTTTTACTATGTATATGCTCCCAATTGATAAAATCATTAGACAGCATGGGATAAACTTCCACTGTTATGCTGACGATACTCAGTTATATTTATCCATTAACCCTGATGAACCTAATCGGTTGGGTAGATTACAGGCTTGTCTTGAGGACATAAAAAATTGGATGACTCTCAACTTCTTGCTTTTAAATCAAGACAAGACGGAAGTTCTCATCTTTGGACCAGAAATCCAGAAAAGGAAATTGCTTAGTCAATCACCTGACCTGAATGGCATTACATTAATCTCCGAGAACAAAGTAAGGAACCTTGGTGTTATCTTTGACCAGGACATGTCATTCAAATCCCAGATTAAACAGGTTTGTCGGATTTCCTTTTTCCACCTTCGGAATATTGCTAAGATTAGAAGCATCCTTTCCAGGAGTGATGCTAAAAAACTAGTTCATGCATTTATTACATCAAGACTGGATTACTGTAATTCATTACTCTCAGGAAGTCCACAGAATGTAGTTAAAAGTCTTCAGCTTGTCCAAAATGCTGCAGCTAGAGTTCTGATGAGAATTAAAAAGAGAGATCATATCTCTCCTGTCTTAGCTTCCCTACATTGGCTACCTGTTAAATTCAGAATAGATTTTAAGATCCTTCTTCTCACATACAAAGCTCTTAATAATCAAGCTCCATCATACATCAGTGATCTGATTGTTCCATATGTTCCTAACCGAGCACTTCGCTCTCAGACTGCAGGTTTACTGGTGGTTCCCAGAATATCTAAAAATAGGATGGATGGCAGATCTTTTAGTTATCAGGCTCCTCTCCTGTGGAACCAGCTCCCAGCTTTAGTCCGTGAGGCAGACACTTTGTCTACTTTTAAGAATAGGCTTAAAATATTTTTATTTGATAGGGCCTATGGTTAAAATCTGATGTTAGCTTAGATCTGGACAAGTGGGGGAGTAGAGGGAGGTGGAGTGTACAGTTGGTAAAGACGGCTCTCCCTTGCCCTGCCTCCAACATGC